TTTTCCATATTTTTTTTTGTTTCGCATTCAACTGGAACATTATGTTCAAAGATTTATTTTATTAAAAAAGAGTTCTGATCATAAGAAGCATGGATAAGCGGCATTTCATTGTGCTCATTCACAAAGTCAAAGGGCCACAGAAGACTCTGCTGGGTCACAGATCAAACTCTGTCTAGAAATGCCGTGGGGTGGTCTTATTCACATCCTCAAGTTTGGAAGCTATGTTTTTGTCTCACTACCAACCTTCTTGCTTTGCTGTTTTATCTGCAAAAAGTTTATTGTTTTCTTTCTTCTGCATTAGAATTCTTCTCACAGCCAGGGCTCAAATTCTCTTAGACTTTATTCCAATCGTCTCATAAAGCAGACACTCGAACCACATTCCCTCCTGAGTATTCGGGAGGGTCTGGCCAGTCGTCTCCTTCCGGGGTGGTTACTGGAGGTGTCGGGATGCTTATTATTGCTGTAGTCACATAAGGCTGTTCACAGTTTAGTTTAACACACTCTTCCATTTTGGCATTTAAACTTGACCGGCTGATGAGGAAAAAAAAAAAAAAGGATTTAAGAAAGTAAATTGTTTGATCAATTCTTCTTCTTCATCTTTTTTTTTTTTTTTTTATACAACTGAGATATATATGCCTCAATGTCATTAAATAACATTTTAAATGTCTAAAAACAAATTACCATGATAAAAAAAAACCAACAACAAACTTCAGTATATATTAAAAGGACCCCTGATGTCACAGTGCTTAAGTGCTCAGCTGTTAACCAAAAAATTGGTGGTTTGCACCCACCAGCCACTCCATGACAGAAAGATGAGGCAGTCTGCTGCCGGAAACATTTATAGCCCACGAAACACGATGGGGCAGTTCTACTCTGTCCTATAGGGTCGCTATGAGTCAGAATCTACTCCATAACACTCAAGTTTCGTTCAGATTGATAAGATGAACATCTATCAGGTCATTAACATTAAATAGATACCTAAAAGCCAGATCAATTTGGTTCAATCAGTGTGTTTCAAAGTATATTCCACAAAAATGCAGGAAAAAGGATCCAGTAAGTTTGGAAAGCCTGGGCTAAGCAAAAAGGAGTGTTCTTGAAGTCAGGAACTCTGAGAAGTTTGAGAAAGAATTTTTAATGGGACATGATGTCTAGGTGATATGGATTGAATTGTACCCCCACCTCAAATATATGTTGTAAATCCTAACTCCTGTATTGCTGGTTATCATCCCATTTGGGAATGGGTTTTCTTTGTTATAATAATAAGACATTTGGTGTAGGATATGTTTTAAGTCAGTCTCTTTTGAGATAAAAAGAGCAGATTAAGCAAGCAAGCAGGAATCCTGGGAGACAGATGTCATGTCATGTGAAGTTCAGCAAGGAAGCCAAAGGAATAAAACCAAACCAGACTCACTGCCATCGTGTTGATTCTGACTCATAGCAACCCCTCCTTGGGTTTCCAAGGCAGTATCTCTATGGAAGTAGATTGCCCAACCTTCCTTCCGAGGAGTGGCTGGTGGGTTTGAACCACCAGCCTTCGGGTTAGAAGTCAAATGTCTTAGGCACTACACCACCAAAGAAGTTGAAAACAGACAAGCACCTTCCCTCAGATTAGACTGAGGGAGATAGAGAAAGAGCACCCTAAAGTCAATCTTCTAGCCTCCTAAACTATGAGAAAATAAATTTCTGTTGGTTAAAGTCACTCACCCATGGTACTTCTGTTATAGTAGCACTAGATAACTATGACACTAAACCAGAAGGAAAAGTAAACTCACTGCCATGAAGTTGATTCTGACTCAGCAGCCCTGTAGGATGGAGGAGAGCTTCCTCAGTCTTTTGGAGGCTATAAATCTTTAAGGAGCTGGACTGCCACATCTTTGACTGCCACATCTTTCTCTCATAGAGTGGCTGAGGTTTGAACTGCTGACCTTTGATTTAGCTGCTGAGCATTTTAACCACTGCACCACCAGAGCTCCTCAACTAAGGTAGTAGGTTTCTCAATTCCTTTGACCACAGCATCTTTTTATTATGTCTCTTCAGTTACTCTGCTCTACAGGACATATGAAGCTCTCACAGCTCTCAACTTAGTGATGGCCACATATTAGCCAAAAAACTGAACAATTGCTGTCAAGTTGATTCTAACTCACGGTGACCCCGTAAGGCAGAATACGCTGTTTTGCAGGGCTTCCAAGGCTGTGCTCTTCATGGAAGCGGGGTGCTACACAAGCAGACAAGCAGAGTAGATGGTGGATATGAACCTCCAACTTTTCAGTTAGCAGCCGAGCTCTTAACCATTGTGTCAACAGGGCTCCTTGGCCACATGTTAAGAACCCCAAAAGTTAGTCATTATTATCAAACACTTCAGAGTTTTCCAAAGTGCCAATCTTGCATGAATCTTATCCTCTATGTAGGGAAGTGAGAGAAAACAGGAAGGGGTAAAAAGGGTATAAACAGGAGCTTCAAACCATTTTTACTTTCATGGAAAACAATTAAAACGTTAATATACTACCATTTTCTTTCCAAACACTTCTCCATTTCCTACTTGGTTCTGAATGACATAAACAACTCAGAGGCAGAATATATTAGGAGACAGAAATCTTATATTGCTTCCAATTTTAATAGGCTTGTCCCAGAGACATCAAATCTAGTAAATCAACATATTTCAAATTCTGCATCCCATCTAAGTTTTCAACAAAGATAGTTGAATGCCAACAAAGAAGCAGGACTGATTTAACAGATCATTATTCTAAAAAATAGACATTGTTTCATTTGATGAAAAAAGTAGGGTATTTGTAAGGACTTGCGTCATTTAAATGTACTACTTTGTTACACCTATGTTTATAGTAAATACAAATACTAAATAAAGAAAAGCAAAGGGAAAACATAAATGTGTGTGTGTGTGTGTGTGTGTGTATATATATATATATATATATATATATATATATATATATCTCACTCATATTGTCCATAAGCCAGAGATCAACAGTTTTAATTAACATTTCACATTTATTTATTTATTTATTTGGTATTGGATTGATTTTGTGTTTGATACGGTCAAAAATACCTTTATGATAAAAATTGCCTATTGATTCAAGAGATGTGTGTTGGCATAGTTTTACTTTTCATAGTTACATGAAATGTGCTTACATAGCTTTAGGTGCTGCTGGATAATTTTCAATCATATCCATGCCAATTTTGTCTCTTTCAGTAGTGTTGACCATCATTTCAGGCTCCTGAGTATATCACTACTAGCTCAAATAAGAAAGGATTTGGGGTTGAAGAGGTAGAAACACATTTGTGGGTGCCTAACTATCTTTGCTTCTTTCCACTCTTTTGCTACTGATACAACTGATCCTTTTGAGCCTTAACTAATATGCCCTAGATCAGTTTACCTACTTGTTACAGTATCAGTTTTGTCTTATTCTAAACCTTGGCTAGAATTTAGATGTTACCAAGATAGCAGCATAATTGAAGGAATAGCTATGTTCTGTGAGTCAGCACAGGTGTGCAGTCACCCAAAACCCAAATGAAACCCATTGCTGTTGAGGGGATTCTGACTCTTAGCCACCCCATAGGACAGAGTAGAACTGCCCCTTAGGTTATTGTAGGCTATACATCTTTATAGAAGCAGACTGCCTCATCTTTCTCCCGTGGAGCGACTGGTGGGTTCAAACCACTGACCTTTTGGTTAGTAGCCTAATGCCTTAACCACCATGTCATCAGAGCTCCCTTGTACTTATACAGCATGCATTAATTTTAATAGGTACCTGTTGGATAGTGGTGTTCTCTCCACACACCTAATCTGGATTGTACTGAGTTCTTGCACACTGCCCCGGTGGCTCCCTGATACATTGGCATTTGGGATACGGAAAGTTTTTTTATGTCGTCGTGAGCAGCAAGTGCTGGTGACTCCTTGTTGTGAAGACAGAGAGGGACTGTGACTTGAAGGACGATTGACAGTTGCAACTTCCATGCAGCTTTCTTCAAAGACTTGTTCATCCACAAACTCATGATTCTGTTCCATATTTGTAAAAACATGTAAAGAAAGCAGAGAAACAATTTTTTTTTCATTAAAAAGGAAGAAAATGCATAGCTTTACTTTTTTTTTTTTTTTCAACACTAAGTGGGTTTTTTTTTTTTTGTTTGTATGTGTTTTGTCTCTCTCTTTTTTTTTTTAAATTATGATTCGGGTGAAAGTTTGCAGAGCAAATTCACTTTCCATACACTTTGTCTCATGATATTGAATATAGTTTCCCACAATGCAACAGCTCCCCTCCCACTTCCTACCCATAGTTACCTCTTCCTTGTGTCCTTCCCTCCATGCACTCCTGCCCCCTGAACTGTCTGTCTCCCTGTGCACACACAGCCCTTCTATTCTCCCATGATTGTTCTCTCCAAGGAGTGTATCTATCTAGGGTAAATGTTCAGCTCATATGCCTGTCTTTTCTTTGGCTGAAAGCCACATGAGTGGGTTCAATTCCAGACCTGAACGGCAGCTAGGGGCCGTAGTCTCAGTGGTTCCACCAGGCT